GCCCTGTGACATTGAATCCCAGAGGCCAGCCCTTTGTCTGCTTTCAGCACTCATTCCACGGAAGAGAAACCCCACATGTTGTGTCTCTGTCCTAGATTTCTTTAGGGGAAACTGATGCCAGGCATGGCCTTCGGTATGGTGTGAGTTTGATTATTTGGTGATTCCTAACATCTTCTGGCATCTAATAGCTCACTCACAGTAAAAAGTCAATAAATGCTAAGCCTCATCTTTATTATCATTTTGTCATAAATTATATGACTATGTGCTTCTAACAGATGTGGCTGTCCTATTTACCATGCCTGAAACTCACTCTGACTCAAACGGTGATTGGAGAACTGACCAGGTTCCCTAGAACATACGTGGAAAGCTAGGCTCTGAACACCCTTCATAATCATGTGCAGAAGGTGATAAGTTAACTGGCAAGTATTAACGTTTCCTATGATCCGATCTAAAACTATTGCAGCGGCGCCTGGGTGGCTTAGTCGGTTAAGCGACCGACTTTCGCTTAGGTCATGATCTCGCGGTTCGTGGGTTCGAGCCCCGCGTCGGGCTCTGTGCTGACTGCCAGCTTGGAGCCTGGAGCCTGTTTAAGTCTGTGACTCCCTCTCTCTCTGACCCTCCCCTGCTCACGCTATCTCTCTCTCTCTCCTAGAAATGAATAAAACATTTAAAAAAATAAATAAATAAAAATAAAACTATTGCAGCCTGCCATTGTGTTGACTCAGTGAGGTTCATACTCCTTTTAAAAATGATCAGAATGGGGGCACTTGGGTCCCTCTGTTGGTTAAGTATCTGACTTTGGCTTGGGTCATGATCTCATGGTTTGTGGGTTCAAGCCCCGCATCAGGCTCTGTGCTGACAGCTCAGAGCCTAGAGCCTGTTTCAGCTTCTGTGTGTGTGTGTGTGTCTGTCTGTCTGTCTGTCTGCCTGCCCCTCCCATGCACACACTCTGTCTTCATCTGTCTCAAATATTAATAAATATTAAATTTTTTTTTAAAATGATCAGAATGGGGGCCTCTGGGTGGCTCAGTTGGTTAACCGACTGACTCTTGATTTTGGGTCAGATCACGATCTCATGATTTGTGAGTTCAAGCCCCATGGGTTCTGCACTGACAGCCTGCTTGGGATTCATTCTCTCTCTCTCTCTCTCACTCTTTCTTTGACTCTCTCTCTTTCTCTCTCAAAATAAGTAAAAAATAAACATTAAATTTTTTTTTAAAAAATGATCAGAATGTATCAACTCTTTTTTGGATATTAACACAGAACATAATCCTCCTAAGATTTTGGTCTTGATTTTGTACTTGATACCAACCTGCTGGATATTTGCCTACATAATAAGGAAGGAGGGGCTAGAGAATGTCACTGGTACCAATGCCACTTGTATGACTCTACTGTCCCACTCTTTCCCGGGGGCGGTGGTAGCCCTCCTAATTTGTTTTTCCTCTAGTGTGAGAGATTCCCACACGTGTTCATTGGTGAAGATAGCTCATTTTTCTTTGCTATGGCAACCCATTTTTTTCAAGCTGAAAATATGCCCAACCCAGGCAATGAATCTACATCTCCTTGTCACATGTTTGGTTTATCAGGTTTTCTTTTTTTAATATTTTTATTTATTTCTAGGAGAGAGAGAGAGAGAGACAGCGTGAGCAGGGGAGGGTCAGAGAGAGAGGGAGACACAGACTCTGAAATAGGCTCCAGGCTCTGAGCTGGGAGTCAGCACAGAGCCCGATGCGGGGCTTGAACCCACGAACCGCAAGATCATAACCCAAGCGAAAGTTGGACGCTTAACTGACTAAGCCACCCAGGTGCCCCGGTTTATCAGGTTTTCTTATATCTGTCTGAGAGTGGTCATATATCTCATTTTTGTCCAATAAATGTAAGTACAACTCTGCTGGAGAGATGTGGCTGGCACTGGTGCTTCCTCTTTCCTTCTATTGAACTTGGGTTTGATGCCTGGAGCCCCAGCAGCCATTCTTGAGCTAACAGACATGAAGAAGAAAGTTCAGCACAGAGGCTGGAGACACAGAAATACGTCAAAATTGTGGATCTTCGATAGCATGCTTCAGAAGTTGAAGCAGCATGAACAAATACCTATCTCCATATTTATTTTTTATTAAATGATAAAAATTAATTCCCGTTTGTTGGAGTCCCTGTCATTTGTGCTTTCTTTTTATTTTCAACCTACTATGCCCGATGTAATACATTTATCTAATTTTTGCCTTGCATTCTTTTAGAATTTTCAAATGACTTCTAGTTTTAGGGTTTCCTAAATTTGTCAAATGAAATCCCTTTTTCTAAGTTGCCAGAGAAAGATCATGACCCACTTCCTCCTGCCGAAGCTCATAATTTACTCTTCTGTGAAGTGTAAAACCCACTATCTCTTTAAAGTTGTAATTCACAGGTTAGCCAGAAAGAGGCTGGGTGTTTCCCAGAAACACACCTGCAATTCAGGTAGCTACAAGTCAGTATTGTATTCTCTTATTTTTGTCATACTTTATTTCATTTCGTTTTTGGTTTTTTTTTTAGGTTATAAACATGTGCTCAGTGGAACCAACTTTTCACCAGAGAGTGATAACAGAAGGAAAATAAGGAAGGAGTGTGTGTTCAAGTTAATTGTAATTCTTGTTTTTAAATTTCTTACTGTTTATTTATTTATTTATTTATTTATTTATTGAAAGAGAGAGACAGAGTGTGAGAGGGGCAGAGAGAGAGGGAGAGAGAATCCGAAGCAGGCTCCAAGCTTCAAGCTGTCAACACAGAGCCCCATGCAGGGCTCAAACTCATGAATCGCTAGATCATGACCTGAGCCTAAGTCAGATGCTTAACTAACTGGGTCACCCAGATGCCCCACAAGTTACTTATGATTCTTTAAATAAAATTAATTCATTTTAAAAGAGGGGCACTATTAATCACAATTAACTAATAATGTTCTTGCATTTAAAAAGGAACCATAGGGTGACTGGGTGGCTCAGTTGATTAAGAGTCCAACTTCAGCTCAGGTCATGATCTCCTGGTTCGTGGGTTCGAGCCCCGCGTCGGGCTCTGTGCTGACAGCTCAGAGCCTGGAGCCTGTTTCAGATTCTGTGTCTCCCTCTCTCTCTGACCCTCTCCTGCTCACGCTGCCTCTCTCTCTCTCTCTCTCTCTCTCTCTTTCTCTCTCTCAGAAATAAATAAAACATTAAAAAATAGATAAAAATAAAAAGAAACCATAACTTACATGATTTTATTCATAAAACACCACATAGAAAGCATGAAATGTGATTATTTGCCTCAAATTTTTATAACTTGAGAGGAAATGGAAAATACACAATTTTCAGAAATAAGTATAAAATACAAAGAAAAATATGAATTTCCCCAGTGACTTTAACTTACACATTTAAAAATTACTCTACTTCTCCTCACCAAAGCTAAATGGATTTAGGTCTATTGATCCTGAATGTTTTTCCAGAGTCAGACATATTACAATATGTGAGCTCCATCCTTTTTCTCACTCAGCTCACAGCTGTAGTCTCTGCCTATTTCTTCAATATGATACTTAAATTAAGTATTCTTAAGTGTTCTTTTCTTCTGTGACAAGAAATAATCACGAGTGAACTTAGAATTCCACTTTTGCTTTAAGCGTTCAGCATTTTTTTCTTTGTACCAAGGAATGGTGTAAATGGTTATTACACGAAAAGACAGTATTTTGTTTTACTAACTTCTGGGCTAATGTTGATATCGCCTATTAAGGATGAGGAGCATGGGGCTTGAGAATTTATTTGCTTCACAGAGCTAGCCAGGAGCAATAAAAACTCATGTTTTCCTTTTGCTTGAATATATTTGACACATAACATTGTGTAAATTTAAGGTGTAAAATGTGTTACTTTGATACCTTTGTGTAAGGTAATATAATTGTCCTTGTAGCTGTGTGTATCACATTACAAACATTGTCTATTGTCTGTATTCATTATAAGGTGCCTTGAAAACTAAGGCTTTTTTGTTATCCATTCCAAGTATGTATCCTTAAACACCATCAGTTCTATTTCCTCACTCTCCATTCCTTGGTAACGACCATTCTGTCATCTGCTTTTTATGACTTCACTTTTGTTTTTTTTAGGATTCCACCTGTAAGTGAGATCATAGAGTACTTGTGTTTCTCTGACTCATCTCACTTAGCATAAATGTGCTCAAGGTTCATCCATGTTTTCTCAAATGGTGGGATTCCCTCCTTTCTCATAGCTGAATTCCATTGTGTGTACGTATCACATCTTTCTTATCTGTTCATCCATTGATGGGCATTTGGGTTGTTTTTATATCTTGACTCCTGTAATGATGCTGTAATGAACGTGAGTGTATGTATCTCTTTGAAATGCATATATGTTTTGCATCTACTGAGTTACTGAGACATGAGAGTTTTGTAGATGTATAGAGCTCACGCTTGTCTGCACAACATCTATGGGTGTTTGGGGTTTGTATACGTGTATGTGCTTATACCTGGGTCCCTGAATAAGAGTGCGTAAATGCCATTCTGATTTTCTGCTGAATGACTTTGGTTATGCTCTCTCTTCCCCCAGAGGATCTTATAATTTGTGAGGCCATTTCCCAGAAAGAGAAGAGCACCTGTGCGCGTGCACACACACACACACACACACACGTTTCCCTCACCTTCCTCTGCCCCAGAGTCTAGCGGGGAGGAAAGCAGTGTGCTTCATGCCTCAGGTCTCTCTTGTGCCATTTAGCTTGCCAACTCTCCCCTTAGTATTCCCCTGGGGTCCCCTGGGGTCCTGGAAAGGCCAAATACTTTCCAGAGGGCTGTGTTTGCAGGGAGGTCCCCTGGGGATGGGAGGGGGTTGGTACCAGCTCCTCCAGGAGCTTGGAGACAAGCAGAGAACAAATAGCTCATTCTGTGCCCTTCTTCAATTGAGCAGAGACAACCAGGCTTGCCCAGCACCTCGTCGAGCTTGGGGAGACTGCCTGCCTCTTCCTGGTCCACATGACCTCTCCTCCTTCCTCAGTCCAAGGTGGCCATGCCTGACAGACCTGGGAGAAGAGTCATAAGTTACATCACTGAGAAAATGGTGGGTTGAAAAAAGACTCTCGGATATTTCAAGGGGATGATAGAAAATCATGTTCATTTGAATCACTGATTCTTGGGAGCTTTCATTTTATTGATTTAAAAAATCTTTTTTAATGTTTTATTTATTTCTGAGAGAGAGAGTGACAGTGTGAGCAGGGGAGGGTCAGAGAGAGCAGGGGAGGGTGAGATACCGAATCAGAAAAAGGCTCCAGGCTCTGATCTGGCTGTCAGCACAGAGCCCGACGTGGGGCTAGAGCCCACAAACCATGAGATCATTACCTGAGCTAAAGTCGGATGCCCAACTGACTAAGCCACCCAGGCGCCCCTAATTTTATTGATATTTTAAAATAGTTTGTCTTCTTTGAGCTTATTATGGGGAGTGTAGCTACAGGGTATAGTTTGGAAATGAATTTAAGACATAGATTAATTTCACTTCAACAAATATTTCTTTTTGAGAGAGAGAATGAGAGATAGACACAGAGGGAGAGAGAGAGAACCCCAAACAGGCTCCATGCTGTCAGCGCAGAGCCTGATGTAAGGCTAGATCCCATAACCATAAGACCATGACCCAAGGCAAAATCAAGTCAGATGCTTAACGGACTCAGCCACCCAGGCGCCCCTCAACAAATATTTCTTTATCATGTATGTATATTAGGCCATATGAAAAATGTCCAGGATTCAGAGGGTATTATGTAATACAGGTTGCCATGCCATTTTAAGAGTACTATAATAATCTGCTCCAGATAAAACAGACCCCAGTCTCTACAATTGCCCAATGGCCTGTTCTCCTGAAGATACCTCGGTTTAATGCGTCATCAGCCCACCGCTGTGCCTCGTCTCGTGCAGAGTCCAGATTACTGTGACTTAGGAAACAGAAAAAGAGAAAGTGGCAGAGAAAATAGAATAACAGTAGAGGAGGGCATGAAGGACTATGTGTATGGAGGAGGGGAGGAGGGAGTGCAGGTATGTGTGAGCATGCGTGCTTCCACCTTAAATGAGGGCAAGGTCTGGCAAAAGTGATGGCAGTTAAGTGTTGATGACTTATAACTCCTTAGAAGATTTCACTGCTCTCCATGCATAGGACTGTAAGAGGAAGAAGGTAAGATTCATCTCTGGGGCAAGTGGACGCCATGACATTTGTCCTGGCTAACACCCTCATTGTGAGCATCACATGAAATAATGTGTCTTCAGATATTACAAAGTGATATGCAAATGTGAGGCATCATATGACCATGAAAACACTGCCACAGACTCGAAAATCCCTTTCAGGGATCCATCTGCTGCAGAAATTTTTGCTGGAGCAAAGGCTGTTAGTGTCTGGGCCTTGCTCTCTTCCTCCTCGGTCTGTCAGACGGGCTTGATAAATGAACCTGGAAGCCTAAGACGGGACTAAGAGACTGAGCCCTGGGGATTTGAGTGAGACCTAGATCCCTTCCTACATTCAAACTGCACTGGACTTTTAGCAAAGCATACTACCTCCTTGTATTTATCAAAATACAATAATTGATCTTTAATATACATGTTATATATCTTATATAAAACATAATATGTGCATATATACACATTATATATGTGGAGAGTTTTGAGGCTCAAATGTGATCATTACTACACTTCCAATTCTTTCCCTCTTTTTTTTTTTTTGACTACTAGAAAACACAAAGCTACTTTCACACTTAAATGGTAAAACTGCTCAGTCAGATGTTTTTGATATAATTCTATATATTCCCTTCTTTTCCCTTTATTTTTTCCTATCTTTATCTTGTGGTCTCTTACTGGAAAATACTGACTCTGGACTCTTAGATTCCTGTGGGAAGCACAGGAAAGAACTCACTGCTGCTGTAAGAATGTCCCCCACTGTATTTACTAATTCTTAGTCTTTTTGAAAATAATTTTTAAGGGGCGCCTGGGTGGCTTAGTCCGTTAAGAGTCCAACTTTCGCTTGGGTCATGATCTCGCGGTTAGTGGGTTCGAGCCCCGTGTCAGGCTCTGTGCTGACTGCCAGCTCGGAGCCAGGAGCCTGTTTCAGTCTGTGACTCCCTCTCTCTCTGACCCTCCCCTGCTCACGCTGTCTCTCTCTCTCTCTCTCCTAGAAATAAAAAAAAAAAAAAAAAACATTTTAAAAAAATAATAATTTTTTAAATGTTTATTTACATTTGAGAGATAGAGACAGAGTGTAAAGGGGTGGGGGAGGTGCAGAGAATGAGGGAGACAGAATCTGAAGCAGGCTCCAGACTCCTATCTGTCAGTGCAGAGCCCAATAAGGGGCTCGAACCCACAGACCTGAACAGAAGTTGGACACTTAACTGACTGAACCACCCAAGCGCCCTCCTAATTCTTAGTCTTAAATTCCATGGGCTACATCGATTTCCAGCTTCAGGTCTGAGCCATATCCTCTGAGAAGAACAATGTTGCTGAAATCCTGACAATATATTTCATTGTCGCAGTGCTGGGGCGGGGTGACTGGGGAGGAGGGGTGCGTGTTCCAGGAAGAAAGGACTTCTAGGTATGATTCCCTCCCTACATATTTCTGGAATATAAAATTGCATGAGGGAATGAGCCCAAAGACACAGCTCTGGAGCCTGGTGTCCTGTAACTGTGAAGGAGGTGCTTCCCAATGGAAATCTTACCCCTCAGCAGATGGAGACATGTTGATTTCATGTGTCCCTTTGCAAGGACAGAGGTGCTGAGGAAAAGCCCAGCTTGGGGGTTGGGGGTGGGGGACTAAGCTCTTTATTAATGGGTTTCAGGTTGTTTGAACTTTGGAACTCAGAGAAAAGAAGAAAGTAGCTGAGGTAGCTTGGGGTTCACAGACCTTGACTGTTTTGCAAGCTCCACCAACCCCCCAATGTCTTGTAAATCCTAGGCCATGGCCAGCAGGGGCCTTTTAATGAGTGTGTGTGTGTGTGTGTGTGTGTGTGTGTGTGTGTGTGTGTAGATTAAAGGCTGAATTCCAACAAAAAAACCAAAATTGTTTGTTGAATTGGACCTATTAGACATTGTTCGCTTTTCTGTTTATCTGTGTCTGTGTTCTTCTCTAACACAGTAATTGAAGAGGTGGCTGTTCTGCCTTTCTTTGGGGTCCTAAAGCGAGGTGCAAGGCACAGGAGGGAAGTGGATGGGGTGGGCAGCCATTTTCCACTGTCACCCCGGGATCATTTCCTCAGAAAAAGCAGAGAACCTCCCCCAGCTGCACCCATACATCCTGCACATGGGCAAGGTTGCTCAGAAAAAGAGAATTAAGAGACACAGGCTCTGGAGAAACACAGAAGGGAGGAATCAAGCTGTAGGTCACAGAGAAAGTCTGGGAAGGGTAAGGCATTCTGCATTGGAGGTTTGGATGATCCTCAGCTGGCTGGAAGGAGACCGTACCCTGCGCAGGAACGCAGAAGGCTCAGTGATGGCAGAAGGCATCTGGGTTCTCCATTTTTTCTGATATTATTTTCAAGCATCTTGTACCTCCTTTAATCTAATACCCCTGGAAAAGTCCTACAGTCCCCTCCTTTCTCATTAACAATGGCTATTGTTTAGGGGTGCCTGGATGGCTCAGTTGGTTGAGTGTTGGACTCTAGATTTCAGCATAGGTCATGATCCCAGGGTCATGGGATCAAGCCCCACTTTGGGCTCTGTACTGAGTATGGAGCCTTCTTGGGATTCTCTCTCCTTCCCCTCTCCCCACCAGGCACATGCTCTCTATTTCTGTCTAATAATGGTAGGAGTAGTAGTAGGAGTAGTAATAATAATAATAATAATAAACAATGGCTGTTGTTTCCACTATCTAGATCTGTTTTGATTTTTATGGCAGGGTTCTGGGAGAATTTAGCAGTGTATCCTGGAAAGGTCACAGCAAATGTCCATAGAAATGTAATTTAAAATCGAAAGCTCATGGGGCGCCTGGGTGGCTTAGTCGGTTAAGCATCCGACTTTCGCTTAGGTCATGATCTCGCGGTTCGTGGGTTCGAGCCCCGCGTCGGGCTCTGTGCTGACTGCCAGCTCGGAGCCTGGAGCCTGTTTCAGTCTGTGACTCCCTCTCTCTCTGACCCTCCCCTGCTCACGCTCTCTCTCTCTCTCTAGAAATAAATAAAAAAAACCTTAAAAAAAAATTTAAAATCGAAAGCTCATTAGATGTTTACAGATGTGATGAAACTATATTATATCCACCTTAGAAATAAAAGAACTAACATTATGAACATTAAGTAGTAAACTCACTTAGGTGGAGGTAGATAAAAGTGGGATTTGGTGTACTTTTCCTAAACTCCTGATCAAGCACTCCTTACAATGGTCAGATCAAAGAAAATATTATCTTTTTTAAATGTTTTAATGTTTTATTTGTTTCTGAGAGAGAGAGAGAGACAGCATGAGCAGGGGAGGGTCAGAGAGAGAGGGAGATACAGAATCCGAAGCAGGCTCCAGGCTCTGAGCTGTCAGCACAGAGCCCAATGCAGGGTTTGAACCCACAAACCGTGAGATCATGACCTGAGCTGAAGTCAGTTGCTTAACCGACGGAGCCACTCAGGCACCCTGAAAAAATTATCTTTTAAATTATCCATTTGATTTTTTTCTCCAAGAAGCTGGCAAATATTCATATCATGTTTGCTATTAACCCTGTGTGTTTGCACAAATTTTGCTTCATTCAAGCTTTACAACCTTGTTAAATAGGAAAAAAACAGACAAGAATTCTTTCTGTACTGATAAGTGGAGTCATAAGATCTCTATACTATAGAGTCATAGCAGTTATGCCTGAGGGTTGAATACCAGAGTCTCCAGCCTCCTTTCCGTATGCAGCAGATGGAATTTCTCCATAGAAAGGCCATCCTCCAATGCCCAACAGAGATATATTGGAAAGGCATAGAATTAACTTGGAGTCAGAACTCTCCAATTTCACTTCTGTGTGAACTTGGATGAGTTCTCTCTCTTGGCTTAAGTTGAAACAAAATTAAAACATAAGCTCCCTAAAATACATTTTTGCTCAAAAGTTTTGGTTGTGATCATAATTTAGGAGGAAGTCAAGATATAAAGGCAGGAGAACTTCTCTTGTAGTGAGTTTGCTTGTGGCAGGTTCTATCAGTGGCAGCAGGCTGGTGCTCAGGACACGGAAAAATCTGATTCTGTCTGTGCCCACAGCCAGTTATGATCACCAAAGTTCTGGAGGTAGATAACCACACTGCAACCATATATTTCATTCTCCTGGGATTCCCAACCCGGCCAGCCTTCCAACTATTCCTCTTCTTTGTGTTCCTGGCAATCTACCTGCTGACTCTGCTGGAGAATGCTCTCATCATCCTGGCCATTCGTAGCGATGGACAACTGCACAAGCCCATGTACTTCTTTCTGAGCAACCTCTCCTTCCTGGAGCTGTGGTATGTCACCGTCATCAGCCCCAAGATGCTGGTGGACTTCCTCAGCCATGACAAGACCATTTCCTTCAATGGCTGCATGACTCAACTTTACTTCTTTGTGACCTTTGTCTGCACAGAGTACATCCTCCTTGCTGTTATGGCCTTTGACCGCCATGTGGCCATTTGTAATCCACTACGCTACCCAGTAATCATGACCAACCAGCTTTGTGGTACATTGGCTGGAGGGTGTTGGCTCTGTGGACTCACAACTGCCATGATTAAGATGGTTTTCATAGCCCGACTCCGCTACTGTGGGAAACCTCACATCAACCACTATTTTTGCGATATTTCTCCACTCCTCAACGTCTCCTGTGAAGATTCCTCACAGGCTGAGCTAGTAGACTTCCTTTTGGCCCTCATGGTCATTGCCATCCCCCTTTGTGTTGTGGTGACATCTTATGCCACCATTCTCTGTGCCATCCTTAAGATCCCTTCTTCGCAGGGCCGCCAAAAGGCATTTTCTACCTGCGCCTCTCACTTGACCGTTGTAATTCTCTTCTATTCCACGACCCTTTTCACCTATGCCCGCCCCAAGCTCATGTACACCTACAATTCCAACAAAGTGGTATCTGTGCTCTACACAGTCATTGTCCCCCTCCTCAACCCCATCATCTACTGTCTGAGGAACCGGGAAGTGAAGGCAGCCCTCAAGAAGACCATATTTTGCAAAGGAAGTAGTTTCAGAGAGGATAAATGAACCTTTGAGTAATTAGACTCTTACAGAATCCCTTCAGGCCTGAGTCAGGAGATGATGGTTCCACATCCCACACCCCACACTCTGGCCTTTGCTTATCTATCAATATTCAGTACTTTAACACTGCTCTCCCGTGTGTGTGTGTGTGTGTGTGTGTGTGTGTGTGTGTGTGAGCGTGCACACACACATGCATACACAAACGTGGCTAAAGAACTGTATCCCCAGGTGGTAGGCTCTATCTCTAGCTCAGCAGACAAGTTTTAAATATTTTCCAAAAATTATTTGAAACGAGGGCAGATTTTTCTGTCCCAATAAGGTACAAACTCTAGGAAAGGACAGATTTTTGTGTGTCCACTTTGCTAACGTGTCATGTGTACATTCAGCTCTGTCTGTCACGTGGTAGGTGCTTACTACACGTTGTGGAAAGGATCATTGAATAAATACATTGAATAAAAACACTGAAGATGAAGATGGGAGTTGTGAATACTTTTTGATTGCGTCTCTTCCACCTGGTCATTTTTCACGTCTTTTCTTCCCTTCTCTCTGTTCTGTCTTTCCTCTTACAGACTCATAGATGTGCTCGCCCTCTGCCCTCCTCCTTCCCCTCCTCCTTCCCTCCTCACTTCCTCTCTCCCCCTCATTTTTCCACAGAGACACATGTTCACCCAAAAAAGTCACCACCTCATCTTACCTGACTCATTTGTTGATTCAAAACTCAAAGCCAACGAGTGGCCCAAGCTTTGTGAAAATCTCAGTAAAGTTTAGGAGGCATATTATGTTTCCAAAATGTTAAACATTGAAAACAAACAAACAAACAAACAAAGTCTGTGTTTCCTTACCGCAGATTTTAGTAGTAATTACTTTTCACTTCATATTTTACAGTTGGCTTTTTAAAAATCAGTTTTGTAAAGTATAATTCCATTCAATAAATTTCACCTTTTTATGTTTATTTTTTCCTTAAAGTTTATTTATCAGAGAGAGAGGGGGAGGGATAGGGAGAAGGAGAGGGAGGGGCAGAGAGAGAGGGCGAGGGAGAGAATCCCAAGCAGGCTCCATGCTCAGCACGGACCTCGATACAGGGCCATGGGTCTCACAAACCTGGGACCAGGACCTGAGATGAAATCATGAGTTGGATGCTTAACCAACTGAGCCACTCAGGCCCCCCTGACAGGTGGATCCTTAATCCCCTTTATCTATGTCCCCCAGGCCCGTAACCCCATCTCCTCTCTGGAACCCACCAGTTTGTTCTCTATATTTAAGAATATTTTTGCTTGTTTGTCTCTGTTCACTCGTTTCATCTCTTAAGCTCCACATACAAGTGTAATCATATGGTATTTGTCTCTGTCTGACTGATTTCATTTAGAAGTATTTCTTCCAGGTCCAGCCCCACCCACCAATGAAAGCCCCTCAGAGCAGCATGGCATTTTGGCAAGGGAAATGAAGACAGTCATGCATCTGACTCCTGACCCCACCCAGCTACATGCCCGCAGACGCCCTGAAGATCCTTTCTTGTTGTTGCACATATGGGTTTCCTATAACTACTCAGTGCTAGTCCCCTGTACAGACAAAGCACAGTTGATTTTTCTAAGTACTGGTCAACAGACATTTAGGCTCTTTCTAGTTTGGAATTGTTATCAATAAAGCTACTAAGAATATTTAAAATAAGTTTTGTTGTGACTGTAGACTTTAATTTCTCTTCAGGAGATGAGGGTTGTTATGGTGTTGTTACCAGGTAATATGACACATTTCTGCTTAAGTTTATGAAAAGATTAGTAAATGTCCCAAAGTAGCCCAACCATTCTACAGTATACAAGCAATGTGTGAGAATTCCAGTTGCTTACAACATCATCAATGGTTAGTAATGTCAAACTTCCCATGTGGTCATTCTAGAGGGGGTGTAATAGTATCACATGGCTTTAACTTGCAATCACCTAATGTTGAACACCTTTTCATTTACTTACCTGCAATTTTGAAAACTTTGTGCTGGAGCACATGAGTGGCTCAGTCAGTTAAACATCTGACGCCAGGTCATGATCTCACAGTTTGTGGATTCGAGCCCTGCGTCCGGCTCTGTGCTGACAGCTCAGAGCCTGGAGCCTGCTTCAGATTCTGGGTCTCCCTCTCTCTCTGCCCCTCCCCCACTCACACTGTTTCTCTCTCTCTCTCTCTCAAAAATAAATAAACATTAAAAATAATTTTTTAAACTTCTTTGTGAAAGTTCTAATCAAACATTTCCCCCAATTTTTAAACTAAGTTTTTTGTCTTGTTATTATTAATCTTTCAGAGTGCTTTGTATACTTCAATGCAATTAATTGTCAGATATATGATTTGCTAATACATTCTCCCATTTGGAGGAGGGTCTTTTGAAAAGTCATATTTTTAAATAGTTTTGGAGGCTAGAAATCTCTGATCAAGGTCCCAGCCAATTCAGTTCCTGGTGAGGACTCTTCTTGCCTTGCAGAGGAGCACAGTCTCACCGGGTGAGGAGATTGAGAGAGAGAGACAGAGAGAAAGAAAGAGAACACAACCACCTTCAGCCTTGATGACCTGTATAAAGGTCCAGTCTCCAGATACAACCACCTCAGAGGGTGAGGCTTCAATATGAGTTTGAGGGACCAGAAACATCCAGTCCATAAGAGTGTATAAAATTGATATCACTTTCCCCTAGAATATTTGACAAAATTCACCAGTGAATGAATTTGGAGTGGGAAATTTATTTGTAAGAAGTTTTTAACCCTAAAACCTATGTCTTTAATAGCTATAGGGATAATCAGGTTATTGGTTTATGTTTTTTTATTGATTTATTCTTGAGTGAGCTTTGAAAGTATGTCTTTCAGGTAATATGCCATTTGATTTGTCAAATGTATTAGCATAAAGTTGTTCATGATATTCCCTGAAATGTCTACAGCATATATAAGATAGCATTTTTTTTGTTGTTTACTATTGATAACTTGTATCTTCTTTCTTTTATCCTGATCAATCTTCCTAGAGATTTATCAATTTTTTTTATTTTTTTATTTTTTATTTCTAGGAGAGAGAGAGAGACAGCGTGAGCAGGGGAGGGTCAGAGAGAGAGGGAGTCACAGACTGAAACAGGCTCCAGGCTCTGAGCTGGCAGTCAGCACAGAGCCCGACGCGGGGCTCGAACCCACGAACCGCGAGATCATGACCTAAGCGAAAGTCGGACGCCTAACCGACTAAGCCACCCAGGCGCCCCTTATCAATTTTATTTTTAAAAAATCAATAAAATTGCTTGATTTTATTGGTTTTCTGTTGGTTTTCTCCTTACTCTTTTATTGTGTGAGGAAAATACATAATATCCTTTCCTCTGCTTACATTTTATTTATTATGTGTTTTTCTCTTGTTTCTTAAGACAAAAGTTTAGCCTACTGATTTGAATCTCTTTTGTAATATAAGCAGTTAATGCTATAAATGTTCCCTTAAACACTGATCTAGCTATATTCCCAAAATAATTTTTGATGTCATATTTTCATTTTATTCAGTTTAAGCTAACTCTGATCTCCCTTTTATTTTTCCCTCCTTTGGCCTATCAGCTACTTAGAAGTGTGTTATTTTAAGTATTAATTATCTGGTATGTTCTAGATGTCTCTTCATTCTTGTTTTCTTGTGTAACTTAGTTTTAATCAATGAACATCCTTGCACGTTAATTAAATCTTACAAAATATTCTGAGACTTGTTTATGGTCATGGATGTCGTCTACCTTGCACACTTGAAAAGAATATGTAGTCTGTTTGGGGCTGGGATGTTCAATATATATCATATTATATATCATATATCTAACTATCATACTGGTTAATAGTGTTGCTAAAATCTTCTACATTTTTGTTTTCTCTTTATATAATATATTATGTTATGTTGTGTGATATTACACATTTTATAAATATAGATATGGCATATCGTTATCCTTCTATATCTTAATTTTAGGTATTCTTGATCTTCCATTTCCTCAGACTAAAATATTGAACACCTCAACTATCGCAGTGGATTCTATTTCTCATTGTTTTTTATCAGCGTTTTACTTAATAAATTTTTAATTTTTGTAATTGTATACATTTGGGATTTTTATGTTTTTATTTTCTGACCACTTTACTATTCTGAAATGTCACCCTTTATCTCAAGGAACATTCCTTCTTCTAAAATTTACTGCAGCTAATAGTCATAAAGTCACTGTAGCTTTTATTTCATGTGGGTGTCATGGTATATATTTTTCCTGTCTTTTTACCTTCAACTTACCTGTGGCTCATAATTAAAGTAGATACTTTATAGACTGTATATAAATAGAGATCTTTTATCCAGCTGGACAATCTCTGGTCTTAAATTCTTATCCCATTTTTGCCACCTTTTTAAATTAGTTGAGTACTTTCTACAAGTTCCATTCTGTCTCACTTTGGCTTTCAAGTGTTTGCTTTAGGGCAACTTTCTGTGATAATGGAAATGTTGTATCTGTGCTGCCCAATACAGTGGACACAGAACATGAGGTTGGTCTCCCATCCAAGGACTCACCAGGCCTGACCCTGCTTAGCTTCCAAGATCAGACAAGTTGGGGAGCGTTCAGGGTGGTGTAGTCGTAGACGAACATGAGGTTAGGAAATATTACAATGTGACCACTAAGGCAGGAAAACTAAAATTTTAATTGTACTGCATCTTAATGAATTAAAAATGCAATATACACATGTAGGTAAAGGCTGTCTTATTGTTAATAGGCACACAGTATACATCTCTAACTTATCACTGTCATTATTCAAATAATATTATATAATTTCTTGTATACTGAAAAGCCTCATAATCCATTCTTTGTACTACATCACCATATATCACCATATATTTTACTTCTCTTATTCTAAGACCTAAAGTTCACTGATATTCTTTTTTTTTTTCTTTAAGTAACCGTCTTTCAAGGAGACTAAAAAGGAAAGGAAAATAAACTTTACCCATATATTTAGCATTTTATTTTTCTATCTGAACCTCATGAGGATCCAAATTTTTATCTGGTAACATTTTTTTTTTTATACACCTGAAGCTATATCTTTAATATTTACTTATGGTGCAGGTGCACTAATGATAAATGCTCACAACTTTGACAGTCTGAACATGACTTTCTTCACCTTTTTTCTGAAGATCCTTTCCCCTGGATGAAGAGTCTGAGCTGACAGACTTTCTGTGTGTTCCATCACGGTCCAATTTCCAGAATTTTTGTCTCACTTCGCCAGGATTGCGGAGTAATGTCTACCGTGAGGGTTCTGTGGAATTATTTATCTCCAACTGCATAATCCCCAAGCCCAGATGTTAGAATAACAGGCACTCCCAGTGGAGGTTGGTCAGAGATCGTGCTTTGCTCCTCTGGCCTCCTTCCTATCCCCCACTCTCATGTTCAGCATTTTTAACAACTAAATTAGGCTTCCCTTTGGGGTCTGTTATTGGGGTCCAGGTTCTGTGTTTTACACTCTAGACATTGCTTTCACCTCATAAATTGTTTACTCCTCTTTTCTCAATGGACATCACACTGCCTATTCTCCAAAATCTGAAAACTGCTGTTTTGTGCATTTTTTCCAGTATTTAGTTTTTAAGGTGGGGTCCAAGTCTATTTTCTATTAATTCAACTTGGTTGGAGCAAGAGTTATTTCCTTTATTGATATTCATTAAGTTACTCGACATCATATATATGTGATATGAGGATTTTAGTATAGATACATATGATATTTTAATTTAAAAATGTGTGGGAAGGGGAGCTACCCTTATCTATGTGAGGAGTTTGGGGGAGTAAGTGTAGATTTAATCTTTTGAAAGCAGTAATGTTGTTTCTCTCACCTCTATATGTTTCCCCACATAGCAGGTGCCCAGTAAATAGTTGAAGAAAGAGTACATCATGGGGGGGCCTGGGTAAGCATCTGACTCTTGATTTCAGCTCAGGTGGTGATCTGGCAATTCATGGGATTGCACCCCATCCATGCCAGGCTCTGTGCTGAAGGTGTGGAGCCTGCTTGGGAGTCTCCCTCTCTCTCTGCCCCTCCCCTGCTCGTTCTCTCTCTCTCTCTCTCTCTCTCATACACACACACACACACACACACACTAAATAAATAAAGTTTAAAAAAAAGTAAATCATGGATGGAGTCTGAAAGCTGGTTTGTTAATTTATTCCATTGTTGTCAGTCAGTTGATTCCTTCCCTCATTTTCCAAGATCTTTCCTAAGGCTGCCTTTCCTGCCTAAAACTTCACAGATTGAGGGGACGTGTACAGGTCTTTTGTGGGATCGGGTTCTGATTTCCTTTGATCTCCGCCAGTTCTCTTTATATTTGCGCTTGGGAGGGTGTATGCGCTTTGGCAGAACTGTACTGAAAGCATCCAACCTGAAGAAACTTAGGCACACCCTTATTTTGAGTCTATTCACATAATATGAGTTCCTCAATCCCTTTTACCCAAGGTACGGGGTGGGGGAAGCCCTGGTTACATGGAGAGGGATTCAGGGAGAACCAAATAGGGAGTAAAGAGAACACAGGGAAGATGAAAAGGAAGTATATTTGAAAACACTGAAGGGGGCGCCTTGAGCTGTAACAGGAATGAAAAGCGATCTTGGAATGATTGTGGGGCAAGTACATGTGCAATGTCAGTGATGAGAGGAACAGGGAGTTTCAATCCACCACCTGGTGTGTTTTCCTAAAGTATGATACAATGTCCTGGGGCAGCACTGTCTGGCAGGACTGAGAGAGAGGGCTGTGGAGGGAGCAGTTCACTGATGTTTTAATTAGAAGTGAGCATATGTACAATGGCTTCTGCAGAGAATAGGTTGATTTTTTTTTTCATTAAAAAAACACGAAAATTTTACCAAGTAGTGTTGGGCATTCATTAGAAGATATTGATTATCAGTTTATTATAATAATCTGATTTATTACACAATTTTCTCCAGCAACATTTAACTGCAAAGGTAATGATGGAGAAGTTAGTTAAATAGCAATTCCTCTCCTCTTTTATTATATAAACTGACATCTAAAGGGGACAACTGGCTATAATGAAACTCTGAGGGGAATAATCAGGTAAGATTGCTTGAAGTTCTGACTGTAGAACGAGGAAAAATGGTCTGAGGAGCACGAAGAGTCTTGTAGGGAAGGGACCATTTTTGGCGTCATCTCTGGATTTGGGAAAGATTACCCTCTGCACCTTTTCTGCCGTCTTAATCTAAAAAACTACATATGCTATATTAAAAATATCCTAGTGGGGTTTTGTGAAAATGGAGAAAAAAAGGAACTCTTGACAATAAAGCGTACATCACAGGGCTTCTGTGTGGCTCAGTCAGTTAAGCGTCCGACTTCAGCTCAGGTCATGATCTCATGGTTCGTGGGTTCAAGCCCTGCATTGGGCTCTGTGCTGACAGCTAGCTCAGGGCCTGGAGCCACTTCGGATTCTGTGTCTCCCTCTCTCTCCGACCCTCCCCTGCTCACGCTCTCTCTCTCTCTCTCTCTCAGAAATAAATAAAACATTTAAAAAGAAATTTAAAAAAAGTGTACACCACGAGCTCTAAGAGAAGTTCATAAATAGCATAAGTTTTATGGGGCATCATTGCCACAACAAGGGCTTGTAAGAGGGACGTGGTGGGGACGTGAGAGAGACCGGACTGGGAACGAAGCTGTGGCCACCTACCTCTATGACCATAGAGGGGACTTTTCAAGAACCTCAAAAGAGTTCCTGATCCCACTTCAGAAAGTCATGTCCAACTTCCCTCAGGCTTCTGCTTCTGCCGTCTGACATTTAGAAGATTGCCCAAGCCCTGTTGCAGCACAGGGGACTTGTACTGAGTCACAAATCATGTTGTCTGCGGGCCGCCAATCTGACATTCTTTCCCAGAGTGCACTTTGAGAAAGGGAAGGAAGAGAGGTTCCTCTTTAAAACTCACAGATGTCGGAGAAGAGCTTGTATCCTATGATTCCCAAGACGAAGATGGGAAACATGTGAGCACGTGAGCCACCACAACGAACACTTGGCTGGCATTGGTACCTAACAATAGATACATTGGGCATAAATCAGTATCAGAATCCATGCAGTCACTGTTAATTGTGTTTCTACACAGTACATATACTGTTTAGCCTTCAAATCTATAAGAAGGAATGGCATGGAGTTATAAGAGAGATAACCAGTAGGCTTAATGTTATAAAGAATGAAAAGAGCCAGATATTCTGGACTAAAGGCAGAGATTTGGGGGGGGGGGAGAATAACAAATATGAGATTGCCTTGAATAATACAACTAAACCAAACTGACAAAAATAGGCTTCACAAGGATAGGACTGTGGATAATACAACATAAAACCCTTTAATCTAAAGGACATAGGAATCTGGAAAGAGCACACATGAGACAGAAATTACCAAGAAATGAGAGGGGGGTAAAGTCTCCTCTGTAGATTAAAATACTCTGTAGTATAAAATTGACTTCCAGAACAAGGCAGATGACTATCCTGTCCAACCTAGAGTGTTGCACCCATTTCCTGGTGACCCATTTGAAGAGTGCTATTAACAAAATGGGAAATATTTTGAGAATAACGCAGAGAACAATGACCGGGATTGTGAGGGGTCTGTCAACTGTGATTTACTGTAAAGGTCAAAGGAGTCACCGGCTGAGTTAAAGGTGTTGCAAAGGAAACACGTGCTATCTTCTTCAAATATTTGAGTTGCTGCTGTGTAAGTGAGAGATTAGATACAAGATATGCATCTCCAGAGATTATAACTAGGTCAGTCAGGGACCAGGGCACTACAGGTGGGACCCCGTAGTGACAGGGCAGTAGAAACGACAGCCTTGGATGCTTTCCAACATAGGCAGCTCATGACTGTAGTAATAGTTTTCAGTTACATGTATTCTATATTACCCATGATTTTTGTGAAGGGTCCTACTGAGGTTTTCCTGAATCATTGAGAAGCTGTGATGGTTGAACTTTCTAACCCAAGTTACCTGTCTTTCCTGGAATAGAATAAAATCAGTCTCAAATATTCTAAAACATCAAAATACTTACTTGTGCAACTTTAGAAGTATTTGAGGGGCGCCTGGGTGCCTCAGTCAGTTGAGTGTTCAACTCTCGATTCTGGCTCAGGTTCATGCATGATTGCACAGTTCATGGGGTCCAGCCCCATGTAGTTTGGGGTTCTCTCTCTCCCTCTCTTTTTGCCCCTCTCCCACTCACACTCTGTCTCCCAAAATAAATAAATAAAACTATCAAAATAAAAGTGTTTGAGACTTGTATCTGATTAACAATCTGCGCAAATTTACGGCTGCACTCCACAATGCCTATTAAAATAATATCCTGGGAAAGCTTGTACTGTGAGGTTATATCATTCTATGTAAACAGAACAGGACAGTGCCATCAGCTCTATAATTAGAGCTGTGTCCTCAGATGGTTGCGCAGACACAAATCATGTCATCACAGAGCTTTAGGATAAAATCCTCTTCTGTTAATCACTTTCCAAATGGCCATCTGGATGGCCTTGTTCCTGAGGCTATACACCATGGGGTTCAACAGTGGAGTCACAACTGTGTAAGTCACTGTCACAAGCCTGTCTTTGCTGGATGAGAACTTGGCTGAGGGCCGCAGGTAGATGGAGGAGGCACAGCCATAGTGGACAATGACCACAGTGAGGTGGGAGGCACAGGTGGAGAAGGCTTTCCGCTTGCCGTCGGCCGATGGGATCTTCAAGATGGTGTGGACAATGAATCCATAAGAGATGCAGATGAAAGTCAGGGGCGTCATGAGTGCTACAACTCCACCAATGAAGATGACCAGCTCATTGATGTAGGTTTCTGTACACGCAAGTTGGATAACCGGCAAGATGTCACAGAAATAGTGGTTGATCTTATTGGGGCCACAGAAAGGGAGCTCAAAGACTAAGAGGGAGCCTGTCAGTGAGAACAAAAAGCCGATCACAGCGCAAGTGGCTGCCAGTTGTCCACACACCTGCCAGCTCATGAGGATAGGGTACCGGAGTGGATGACAGATGGCTGCATAGCGGTCATACCCCATGACCCCAAGCAGCATGCAATTAGTGACAGCAAAACCAAGGAAGAAAAACATCTGAACAGCACAGTTGACAAAGGAGATTGTTCTGAGCAGAGACAACAGATTTATGAGCATCTTGGGCAGGATGACAAGAGTGTAGCAAATCTCAGAGATGGAAAGAATCCCCAGGAAGAAGTACATAGGTACGTGGAGGCTGCGATCCAGGCGTATGACAGTGATGATAGTGATGTTCCCGCTGAGAATGATCAGATACAGGCACAGAAATATAGCAAAGAGGATGAGCTGGATTTCCCCAAGGTTGGAGAACCCCAGCAGCAAGAACTCGGTGACAGAGGAGAAATTAGCTTGGCTGACTTGGTCCCTGAGGTTGACCTACAGAGAACAGGAATGAAAAAGCAGATTGTTTACCCTGAAGGATGCAGGTAGTTCATTCCACTATGAAAGAGTAACCACTAATAGGAGGAGGAAGGCAAATGCAGGCAAGAAGTGCCCTATCGATCATGTCAATTTACAGAACTGTTTCAAAAAACTCAGGATTACATCTGTTTCCAGTGACATTTCAGTATCTCTTATGGTGCTTAAGTCCAGGTCATTTTTCACACTGCCTATTTCAAATAGGAGCGTCTGAAGAGTTCTTGTGTGACAATCCCAACACTGTCGTTTCAATCTGTGCCTCAGTCTTCCCATCTGTAACAAAGATGCTAACAGTGCCTCTCTCCCAGGCTTCTTAAGGAAGTGAAAGCATTTTGCACAGCACACATCCATTGTAAACTGTTAGTAAATGTCAGCTTCTGTTACATATGCTGTTTCATCTTCAGAAGTGGTTGCTAGCTCTTCTTAAGTTTCCTTTCGGATGCCCTTTAAGTGTTTCTCCACCTGTTTTTATTTTTTTAACCCTATTTTATTTTAAAAAAACTACTGAGCCAGCGTTCAAACCCGACTCCTATTTGTGCATATTTTTAGTGATGATAATAATATGTTGACATTAGTTTATATATGGACCCAATCCCACAACCTGTTTGACCCACTGGAGAGAGGGGTGTTGGAAAAAGGCTTTGTGCACTGAAATAGCTCTAAAACAACACCAGGTTCTTATGGTCAGGCAGGATATTGGTCTTACCACCTGCTTACCACTTTGCCAGGAAGAGCAAACTGACTTAGAGTTCTCCTGTAAGTAATTTTATTTTTTTTTATTTATTTTTTTAATATTTTTATTTATTTCTAGGAGAGAGAGAGAGAGAGAGAGACAGTGTGAGCAGGGGAGGGTCAGAGAGAGAGGGAGTCACAGACTCTGAAACAGGCTCCAGGCTCTGAGCTGGCAGTCAGCACAGAGCCCGACGCGGGGCTCGAACCCACGAACCGCGAGATCATGACCTAAGCGAAAGTCGGACGCCTAACCGACTAAGCCACCCAGGCGCCCCCTTTTTTTTTTTTTTTAATTTTTTTAATGTCTTATTTATTTTTGAGAGAGAGATAGAGACAATGTGAGCAGGGAAGGATCAGAGAGAGAGGTAGGCATAGAATCTGAAGCAGGTTCCAGGCTCTGAGCTAGCTGTCAGCACAGAGCCCTCCACGGGGCTCGAACCCGCGAACCATGAGATCATGGCCTGAGCCAAAGTCAGATGCTTAACCCACTGAGCCACCCAGGCACCCCTCCTGTAAGTAATTTTAAACTTCAAACAGAAATCCATCCGACCCATCAGACCTTTCCTCGATCTGAGCCATTATATTTCTGCACATTTTCCCTAGATTTCCACCAGAGCTCCGCTCTGCGTTGGGCACACTTGCTTTCAAAGCGTTCAGCCCCTGTGATTTCTCCTCACTAAAGGATGGACAGCTCCTTTCCCCTCCACTCAACTAAAAGAAAGTTTAAATTTAATAAAGTAATAAACACGTATCCAGAATGACCAAATAATTGAAAACAAGAAAAACAAGGAGCAGACTACAAAATGAAATTCTTTAGCTAATGTAGCTCAGTTCCAGCTGACTGCTGATCCCACACCCCTGGGCGACCCTGCCTTCACCCAGGCCAGCTTTGAGTGCTTTCATGTTGGCTTCCCTTGCTTTCATCAGAGAGCTAGAAGTACAAGTGTCAGTTTTGTTCTTCTTCTTTTTTTTAATGTTTATTTATTTTTGAGAGACAAATACAGAGCATGAGCAGGGGAGGGGCAGAGAAAGAGAGAGACACAGAATCTGAAGCAGGGTCCAGGCTCTGGGCTGTCAGCACAGAGCCCATTGCGGATTCAAACCCATGAACCGTGAGATCACGACCTGAGCTGAAGTCGGACGCTCAACCGACTGAGCCCCCCAGGCGCCCCCAGTTTTGTTCTTCTATCTATGATTCTCCTCTTCAAAACCCTTTATGCATCACTTGATGGCTAATGAAAGATCACGGCCAGGATCTTCCCTGAGGAACGTAATTCATTTACCTCCTCAGTTCCCATCTCTGAGGTTTAGATGCTCTGTCCACACAATGTTCCGGTAGTGAGGTCTAAGGACAGCAGAAGGTCTGTAAGGAAAGACATCTCAGTCAGACACTCGCTTCTTTTACTCCTTTGTCACCTACTAGACTTTCCTGGCCTGCCACTGTCACTGGAGAATAGTTTCATGAGACATTCGGGAATGGAAGCTGAATGAACTGAATGTCGACCGCTTGCTCACTCTTGACGGGGAGTCATAAGTAGTTGCCTTTTCTTTTTCAACTGTCCAGGGAAGATTTCCCAGAAGAACCAGTCTTCCAGGGATGGTGGATAGAGAAGGAGTCAGTTTCACGAGCTCTGGGAAGCATGTTTTATGGCATTGGTTTGAAGCCATCCGTGTGCCTACCACAGCTCAGTTGCCAAAGCCCTATTTTATCTCCCCAAAGCCCTATACTGTCCCCCATTTTCCCAGGCTACCATACACATGTGTGCCTTACTCCCCTTACATGTTCTTTGTAACCATCATTAATGAGACAGACAGATTGGACCTCATGGGATAATTAGAACTTTTCTAAAACTATCATTGGTGACTGGTACTTGTCTATCAGTGGACCTGAGCACTATCTTCACATAATCCCTCACATAAAATAACTCAACTCCCTTAGCACACAGCTATTAGAATCCAGGGACACTCATAAATCTTCTAATCAAAGGAGACTTAAATTAATGTCACTACAATCATTTCTATCCTGAAATGGCTTAATTCTATTCCTTTCTACTACTGACCTCTCAATGTCCCAAACTGTGTATTCTTACCTCCTCTGTTGAGAATTCTGAGAAGTATCCCCTAAAGCATCATTGAAGAACTTTTCTTCAGTCTCTTATTAGCTCTGGTCCCAACATGCTGGTTTATATTCATACTTTCCAAAACTCGAGGGAGCCATCCTTACAATTTTATTTCTGGCACAGTTCCAATCCTTACAATGAGGAAAGAGGGTGCAGGAAACACCGTGGATCTCAAATCTCACCGGTCCAATTGGATAAAAAGAGAACAGGAAAAAATACTGACATTGGCAATTAGTTGGCAATTGGTCCCAGGTTGCCTGGTGGCTCGTTAGGAGCTGAAAGCCATTGCGGATTAAGGACAGAGACGTACATGTACAAACCCGTACTGTGGGAGGGGGTCCAGGGCTGTCTCTTCCAGGGTCTTTTGTGTGAGGGAGAAGCCCTTTCCCTGCACATCCCCGTCACAAATCAAGTCTTGTTCTGTCACTGCAAAAGAAGAAACAAAGTTCTCCCTGTTAGTCCAGGTTCACCTTAACCCCACAGATTACATTTCTGTACCAAGGAGAGGGTGTGGGAGCATAGCGTGAGAGAAGAGAAGCACTGTGTCTTAGCCGGCAGAACACCGAGACCTCCAGGAGTAGATTTGGGGGCCGAGGGGAGGGGTGGAGTGTTTACATGCAGGTCACAGATGTGACACTGCAAGTTTCCCTAGCTCCTTGGAGATGACAAGATCTCCAATCAGTGTCACCCCCACAGGTAGGGATTAGGATCAACACTTGTGTGTAATACCTTCCAGGGCTTGGCGACTCCAGTGATCCTCATTCTTCCCTGTAATTTTCTCTTTTTTTAAAAAAAAAAATTTTATTTCTTTATTTTGAGAGAGAGAGAGACAGAGAATCCAAGCAAGCTCCACACTCTCAGCACAGAGCCCAACGTGGGGCTCGAACTCACACACGGTGAGATCATGGCCTGAGCTGAATGACCCGAAATCAAGAGTCAATGCTTAACCGACTGAGCCACCCAGGCTCCCCATCTTCCCTGCAATTCTCTGATAGCCTGGCCCAAGACAGAGGAGAATGGCTGGGGCTGGAGAAAAACCGACGAGGTGCCCGGTCTGCATCTGTGTGCGCGCTCCCCTCTCCGGCACTGGAAAGGGGGATCAAAGTCACCCTCCTCTATTGCTGGACTCGGTCAACACAGTTTCCAGCACTGCAAGTTCCCCGGGAATCATCATTCCGCCTCTTCAGTGAGATAACATCCACCCTCTGTCCCTTCCCTCGTGAGTCATGAGTGATTCACACGGGGAAGTCTGAGAGCACTTGGCACGGAGTCCGCCCCCGCGGGCGCTGTTGCTGCTGCCGCAGGCTCCGGAGCGGCTCTGGGAAGAGAGGTTCCTACTGGCAGTTCCCAGCCTGCACAACAGCAGAAATTCCTGAATGAGCTCATTCCTGACTCAGACTCCTTGTCTTTCCAGTGACATCGCTTTCAGAGGCTACCAGCTGAGATCGGACAACAGCTCGTGCTGCTCCTAGTGATTGTCAGCTGTGCACGTGAGTCCCTCCGAAGAGCTGCTGAATCCCGGGGTTTCTGGGACATCTGGGGCGCCCCGTGCATCTTCCTGAACAGACACCTCTGCACAGGGCGCGGGCCAAGCTGCCGCACAACACCTGTTCAAAGACCTCTAAGGTTTCCCGAGCAGGAAGAAATCTGAAAAACACTTAGTCACATTTCTAGGATCACTTTTGCACACAGTTATGGATTTAGTCCCTCCCTCGGGCACTGGAAGGTACTTTTCAGAAGGTTAAATAGCCATTTTTTTATTAGAGTTTAAACTCAGGTTTTCAGTAAACTTAGAGGAAACATATTCCGTCTCAAATACTTCAGTGTGATCCATGCATGCGATCAAAGCAATAGCCCCGGACAGGCTCTAATTGCACATTATAAACTAAATTCAAATGGAAACACTCTGTCTTGAGGACAGTTTTGTATATAAATGCTGTGTCCTGCCCCCACTGACTTCACTCCCGAGGCATAGGTGCACACTACCATCATGGCGGCTCTCTTGGCCATGGAAGCATTGCTATGAGGCACAAACCCCAAGTATGAACAATGTGAATCTAGGAAGCAGAGGTCTCAGTTATATTTTCCAGCAACTGCCATCAGAAAGCAATTCTTCCGAGATCAGACGAGATCGGGCGCGTTCAGGGTGGTATGGCGGTAGACCAGAAAGCAATTGTAATTTTTATATTTATATTTAGGATTTTTATATTTTATATTTACATCTTTAGGATTCTGTGCGATGGAAGCTCTCAATAATATTCATTTCTATTGTTTCCCTTTCTGTTCCAAAGAGAGAGGAAGAGAAGAAGAAATTGCAATATTGCATTGTATTAAAGTGAAGGGAAAAGATACTAAGGGAAGAAAAAGAAGATAGTATCTAACCAAGGTACAACTAAAATCTTTTCAAAACACGGGATCTCGAAGAAGAAAAGTTAAAATAAAAATTTCTTTTTTTTTTTTTTACAAATAGTTTATTGTCAAATTAGTTTCCACATAACACCCAGTGCTCATCCCCACAAGTGCCCTCCTCCATGCCCATCCCTCCTCCCCCCCACATCCATCAGTCCTCAGTTTTTTGTCAGCATTCAAGAGTCTCTCATGGTTTGCCTCTCTCCCTTTCCCCCACCATTTCCCCCCTTTTTCTCCCCCTTGTTCCTCAGTTAAGGTCCTCCTAATCTTCCTATACATGCAAACATATGATATTTGTCCTTCTCTGCCTGACTTATTTCACTCAGCATAACACCCTCCATCTATATGCTGTCTATAAAATAAAAATTTCTAAGTCATAACGTTATGAAGTTTTGAACTAAGAAAGAATTTGTGTTTTATATAATGAAAGCAGCAGTTAGAAGAAGCTGTTAAAGTTTTTTTAATTTTAATTTTTTAAATATTTATTTATGAGAGAGAGAGAAGGCAAGCATGAGTTGGGGAGGGGAAGAGAAAGAAGAGGCACAGAATCCGAAGCAGGTTCCAGGCTCTGAGCCATCAGTACAGAGCCCCATGCAGGGCTTAAACACATAAATAGTGAGATCATGACCTGAGCCGAAGTGGGACACCTAACTGACTAAGCCACCCAGGCCCTGAAGCTGTTAAACTTTAAAATTACTATGTGAAATGCTGAGGCATAGGAGCACATGTACCCCAATGTTCATAGCAGCACTCTCCACAATAGCTAAAACATGGAAAGAGCCTAAGTGTTCATCAACAGATGAATGGATCAAGAAGATGTGGTTTATCTATACCATGGAATACTACATGGCAATGAGAAACAATGAAATCTGGCCATGTGTAGCGACATGGATGGACCTTGAGGGTGTTATGCTGAGCGAAATAAGTCAGGCAGAGAAGGACAAATATCATATGTGTGCACGTATAGGAGGACTAGGAGGAACTTAACAGAGGACCAACTGGGAGAAGAAGGGCGGAAATGGTGGGGGAAAGGGAGAGAGGCAAACCATGAGAGACTCTTGAATGCTGACAAAAACTGAGGACTGATGGATGTGGGGGGGAGGGGGGGATGGGCATGGAGGAGGGCACTTGTGGGGATGAGCACTGGGTGTTATGTGGAAACTAATTTGACAATAAACTATTTGTAAAAAAAAAATAAAATAAAATAAAATTACTATGTGATATAAAACTAACAAAATATGATGGTTATTTTTTTCTATGGAAATTTGACTGGGCCATGTGGTACCCAGATATTTAGTTGAATATTATTCTGGGTGTGTCTGTGAGTTTTTTTTGGATGAGATTCACATTTGAATCAGCATCCTGAGAAGCAGATTGCACTCCCCTATGTGGGTGGGCCTCATCTAGTCAAGTGAAGGTCTGAATTGAACAAAAAGGCTGAGTAGAAGAGGTTTCTTTCTCGGAGCCTGACTACCATAGAGCCATGACAGTCTCCAGGCTTAGCATCTGCACATGGACTGGAATTTACACCACTGGCTTTCCTGGCTCTCAGGTGTTCAGAGTTGTACTGGAATGATACCATTATTCCCTTGGTTTTCCAATCTGCCAACTGAAGATCATGGGAATTCTCAGCCTCCATAATGGCTTCAGCCAAATCCTTATAATAAATGTCTATGTGTCCATCTATTTGATGCACCTAGATGATCTGTCTCTATAAGATATATGGATATTCTACTGATTCTGTTTCTCTAGAGAATCCAGAGAATACACAAAACACACTCTGCACACAAATCATAGAAATAAAAATGGAAAGAAAAAAGAAAAATATTTCAAATTACATTATAAAAAGAAGACTGTGTTATGTTAGTACATTTGGTTTTCAAGAGAAAGAATTACAATATGATTCAGCAGAAGGAAAGGGAATCTGTTAGCGCAAATAATGGGTAGGTTCATGACAAATCTGATCAGCTATGGCCCAATTCAAGAACTTGCATTACAGGTTATGCTGAGTCTTGACTCAGAGATCAACCTCTGAGAAATGTCCTTACCCATAATTTACTTTTCTTTAGCACGTCTCACACTTTATGATTATTGTCTATTTAATAAACAATATAATGTCTATGATTATATCTCTATTTTCCAACCCCATGGAAGTCTTTCCCTCTGTTCTAAATGTTTAAGCCACATATCTAGAACATTGCCTGATATATAATAGGCATTCGATAAGTATTTGTTGAGTGAAGGAAAGTTGATTGAATAAATCATTTTCCCTTTCTCTCTTTCACTTGACCTGGCTTTACTCCTTGTGCTATATTTATTTTTCTTTTAATTTTTTAATGTTTATTATTATTTTTTGAGAGAGAGAGAGAGCTGGGTAGGGACAGAGAGAGCTGGGGAGGGGCATAGAGAGAAGGAGAGAAAGAATCCCAAGCAGTTCAGAGCCTGATACAGGGCTCGAAGTCACAAACCGTGAGATCCTGACCTAAGTTGAAATGAAGAGTCAGATGCTTAACTGACTGAGCCACTGAGGTGCCTCTTTGTGCTAGATTTCTCACTCCATGAGCTGGCTTTGTCCAAATAATAGGATAAAAATGGAGATAAATGTCTTAAACCTCCATTCTTAGTGATGCAATTCAAAAGGCTGAGAGATTTGGTCTATACATCTATATAAGGAATTTAACCAATATTCCTCCTAGATAGAAGAGAAGGTGGGGCACTGTGTGATTGGCTTCACAGACCTTTTTAACCAGCCCTATGCTGAGGGATGGAGGGGGTAGGGTTTGTCTCTCAACTGAAACTCTTAAAATGATTCCTAGGTAAATTATGTTTTATTGTACTGAAAAAAGTGGGGGAAAAATCCAATTTAACTTGGATTCAGTACATAAAAACGAAGAGGAATCCATCAGCCCATATCTGAACATACATCAGCACATCAAGAGATTAGCTCAGGCAAAGTGTGAGTCACAGACCATGGCAGCAGACCATGAAATCATCAGACTCAGTCTATTTCCCTAGCTCTCCTTTTTTCACTATTTCAACTTCAGCCCCCACCTTGGGTTTTCCTCATTGTACTGAAAATGGGAGGCAAAACTGAGGTCAATTTTATACTGCTTGTACAGAGAAGCAAAATTGTAAGAATCTGAGTATACTGTAGGAATTAGATTCAGTTTCTGCTCCCAAGTGGTATATTCAGAGAAAGCAGGAAAATAGTGACAGCATCAACATCTCCTTGGCTACAGATTTCAGCTTTTGTCCTGTGTCCTTGAATCAATGATTCAAGTGACAGACTCTTGACCCTTTCAAACTTTCTAATAATTTATAGTTTTTTAATTAATTTTTTTCTAAAAATACTTGTGTAATGTCCTGCTTCCTGCATTACTTTCCAACTGCATCAGTGATTAAGTAGTAATTAGGGGGAAAATTATTGCATAAAAATTTTTATTTATATTATGAGGTTAAAACTTTCTTAAAAGTAAAGGCAAGTAGGAATTCAGCTTCTGGTCTAGCTGAGTAAGTCCCTATTAGATCAACCCTCCTGAAGATAATTACTACAAAATCTGGAAAAAGCACAAAAGGCAACTACCAGAAGGCACCAAAAATAGGGTAGCAGCAGGCAGATTCAGAATGTAGTCAACACCTGGAAGAAGGAAGCATGATAAGCTTCTCCTTGATAAAGTTTTCGGTTTTAATGAAGGTCACAGTCAGCATTGTTTATGAAAAAATTAAAACTCGAAAAGGAAAGCAATAGGCTTCCTAGCACAAAGAACCAAGGGATAGAGTTTGGGATTAACCATAATGCTGGGAGGTGAGAATAGAATCCTGGAAATGGAAGAACCAGAGAGAGAGAGCGCTTCATTCCATGTATATGTTCTGTCCAAATGTCTAGCTCATCCCTGAAGCCCATCTGTGTGAGAAAGACTCGAAGCAGCCCAAAGTCTAAAAGAATTAAATGGAGACTTGAACCACCACCCAAGAGAACAAATTTTGAGTTTTAGTCTACCAAGTTATTTGCCTGCTGAAACTAAAAACACCAACAAATTGTCAAACTATTTTAACAGAAGTCTCTACAACATAATAATTATAAGTCACTCTTAAAAAAAAATTTTTTTAATGTTTATTCATTTTTGAAAGAAGGAGAGACAGAGCATGAGCCAGGTGGGGGCAGAGAGAGAGAGACACAGAAACTGAAGCAGGCTCCAGGCTCTGAGCTGTCAGCACAGAGCATGATGCAGGATTTGAACTCAAGAAACGTGAGATCATGACCTGAGCTGAAATCAAGAGTCAGACACTTAACCGAATGAGAATGCAAGCATCCCATCCCAGAGTTATTTCTACCATTCTATAATTATGTTCACTGCTTCCTTCCTCTGTTACCTCCATTCAGATGTTAATTTCATGCATTGAAGTCTTTTTTTCTTTTTTTACATAATGTATTCTCAGTTCTACCATTTTGGGGGGATGGGAGTCTTTTTTCATAGTTTCTGTTTCTCCTCGGAAACTTGTTGGATGCTGACCCATTCATTACAAGAACATTTTACATACATTATTGGACATAATTATCAGAGCTGGTTTAAAATCTTGGC